TAGGGCTTCATATGCTAGGCAAGCACTCTACCACTAAGCCACATTCCCAGCCCTGGAAACAGGGCTTATCAGTTTTGTTTTTTTTTTAAACCAGAACTTTCTGATGAGTTTAGGGAGATGACGTTAGGGTTTGAGGGCATATCCTGCAAGGGGTAGGTAGGTCTTGGGCCCGTCTGTGGGCTGCCCAGTAGCCCTGTTTTTATTGCTCTGGCAACCAGGGCCCCTACACTTACTGCCTTTCCCTGACATTCTTTGTAGCAGGATGAGATCAGCGGCATGTGGATCGTCCCTTTTCCATGGAATCTTCATCTTCTGAACTACCTACCCATTAGTCACTGTTGGGCTTAGTTATCCTAGTTGTCAGAGCAACTGTGGTCATGGTAATCCTTACTGTACTTAGTAATAGCCTGAAGGCAGTTAGGACATCAGATAAGCAGTAAGATGCTTCCTTTAAATGAAAAGGTGAGAGCTCCACTTAATAAAAAGAAAAAAAGAGCTGGGTGCTGGTGGCTCACGCCTGTAATCTTAGCTACTCAGGAGGCTGAGATCTGATGGTGGTTTAAAGCCAGCCGGGGCAGGAAAGTCCGTGAGACTCTTATCTCCAATAAAAATCACTAGAAAACTGGAAGTGGCGCTGTGGCTCAAGCAGTAGAGTGCTGAAGAGCACAGGGACAGCGCCCAAGCCTAGAGTTCAAGCCCCACGACCGACCAAAACAAACAAACAAACAAATAAGGTAAAAATGATTTTATTCTGAAGTTAAGATCCAGAGGAGGGCTGGGAAGGTGGCTCAGTGGTAGGGTGCTTGCCTAACATGCATGAAGCCCTGGGTTCCATTCCTCAGTACCACATACACAGAAAAAGCTGGAAGTGGTGCTGTGGCTTAAGTGGTAGAGCACCAGCCTTGAGCCAAAGCAGCTTGGGGATAGCACCTAGGCTCTGAGTTCAAGCCCCAGGACTGGCAAAAAAAAAAAGATCCAGAGGAGTGCCAGTGGTTCACATTTTTAATCCTAGCTACTCAGGCTGAGGTCTGAGGATCCAGATTTGAAGCCAGCCCAGGCAGGAAAGGCTATATGAAATTCTTTTTTTTTTTGGTCCGGTCGTGGGGCCTGAACTCTGGGCCTGGGCACTGTCCCTCAGCTCTTCAGCTCAAGGCTAGTGCTCTACCACTTGAGCCACAGTGCCACTTCCGGCTTTTTTTTTTTCTTTTTGCTTATGTGGTGCTGAGGAATCGAACCCAGGGCCTTGAGCATGCAAGGCAAGCGCTCTACCACTGAGCCACCTTCCCAGCCCAGGCTATATGAAATTCTTATCTCCATTTAACCAACAAAAACCTTGAACTGGAGCTGTGGCTCACATACTAGAGAGCTGGCTAGCCTTGAGTGAGAAAGCTAAGAACAGTGCCCCGGTCCAAAGTTCAAGTCCCAGCACACACACAATAAATAATAATAATAATAGTAGTAGTAATAATAATGATAATAATGGTGTTATTTTCCCCCTGGAGACGACCTGCTTCCAGCCTATTGAAATAAACTATTGAAACATACTTGCACTTTTTCTAACATTGGCCTCTTGCCTGACTTCTCACACAAAGCTAGCTTTCAGGCAGGTGGAAAGCCAAAGTGAGGTGGGATTCTGAGGTGATGGGAGCAGTAACTGCTCCCTAGGGGCATTGCTGCCTAAACCTCCCAGCTCCCAAATCAAGCCGGGATCCAATGCACCTTAATCATCTGGGTTTGCTCTGAGACATGCATCCATCCCCCAGGGCCCAGGAGCCTGGGTGGCAGTGGCCCCTTTAATGTGGAAGGCTTGGGAGTCACCAGGAAGGCTCTGCCCAACCAATGCCTGGCCAAGCCTGAGCATGGAGTCCAGAGATGCCCCAGCCGCATGCCAGCTGGCCTGGGCTGGGCCCAGTGGCATCTCTGAGTCACAGACAGAGTAGATGGTAGTGACTCAACCAGGCCTGTTTCCCTTCCTGTAAGACCAGCTTGGGTGGAGGCTGGGACCAAGAAACCCCGTGCCTGTATTCCTGGGCCCTCACCACCTACTCTCTTCCCCTGCTCAGCCTTGGGCTGACCCTTCATGCAGCCCATACCCACCCACCCCCCACTGGCTGGCACAAAGGTCCTTTATGGAATGCTGGTTACATGAAGGGGCTGTGATTGGGTCCCTGGACCCCAGGCCCAGCCTGGTCTAGTTCCCCACTCCTATCCATCCCTCACAAAGAGCCCAAGAGACGGACAGAGCCAGTGTGTACTGCTGTTCCCTGCTTCCTGGCCTGGGCTCCCCAGGCAGGGACTTCCTCAGCCCCATTTTTCAGATATGGAAAAAAGACTTAGGGAGATAAACTATCCCAGGTTCACCTGGGGTAGTGAGGTAGGCAGAACACGATTAGGTCCCAGGTCTCCACACTCCAAAATGGGCCCTTAGCACTCTTTAACGGAGGGTCTCTGGAGGAAGTGACAGGCCTGGGAATAGAGAAGAACACTCAGGGAAGACTGAAGAGACCAGCCGTCAAAGCGGGTGCAGGCCTGGGTATAAGTGGCTCATGCCTATAATACTAATTACTCAGGAGTTTCAGATCTGATGATCCAAGATTTGAAGCCAGGCCAAGCAGAAAAACCCATGAGACTCTTATCTCCAATTAACCAGCAAAAAGCCAGAAGCTGTGGCTCAAGAGGTATAGCACTATGGGCTTAGTGGTATGTAGCTTAGTGGTAGAGTGCTTGCCTACCATGCATGAAGCTCTGGGTTCGATTACTCAGTACCACACAAATAGAAAAAGCCAGAAGTGGTACTGTGCCTCAAGTAGTAGAATGCTAGCCTTGAGCATAGAGAAGCTCAGGGACAGTGCCTAGGCCCTGAGTTCAAGTTCCAGGACTGGCAAAAAAAACAAAAACAAAAACAGAGCACTAGCATGGAGCAAAAGAAGGCTCAAGGACAGTGCTCAGGCCCTAAATCCTAGTCCCAGAACTGACACAAAGTTTGTGGGCTGCCAGATGCCAGTGGCTCATGCTTGTAATCCTAGCTGCTCAGGAGGCTGAGAGCTGAGGCTCATGGTTCCAAGTCGAACAGAACAGAAAAGCCCCTGAGAGAATTATCTCCAATTAACCATTAAAAAGCCAGAAGGGGCACTGTGGCTCAAAGTGGTAGAGTGCTAGTCTCGAGCAAAAAAGCTCAGAGACAGTGCCAAGGCCCTGAGTTCTAGCCCCAAACACACACAAAGAAAGTGTGTGCCCAAGTTTTCTCTCTCTGGCCAGGATGTAGTTAGAAGGAAGGAATGCAGGAAGAGCCAAGACCTTGGAGAATGGCTTGTGCAAAGGCTCTGGTGACATTATCTAGCACTTAGCTCAGTGGGGCTGGAGTGCAGAGCCCCAAGGGAAGAAAAGCAAAGGAGACAGGAGCCTAGCTAGGCCACAGGACCAGATCCTGGAATAGGAAGCTTTTTGAATTCAGTTCCTTGTGCTTGCTAGACAGACATTCTACCACAACTCTGCCAGCCCCTTTTTGTGTTGGTTATTTATTTTTGCTAATCCTGGGGCTTGCACTCTGGCCCTAGGTGCTCTACCTGAGCCTCTTTATGTTCAAGGCTAGTGCTCTACCACTTGAGCCACAATACCACTTCTCCCTTTTCTTGAGTAATTTATTGGAGATAACAATGTCACTGAGGGTTGGGAAGATGGCTCAGTGGTAGAGCGCTTGCCTTGCATGCTCGAGGCCCTGGGTTCGATTCCTCAGCACCACATAAGCAAAAAAAAAAAAGCTGGAAGTGGCGCTGTGGCTCAAGTGGTAGAGCACTAGCCTTGAGCTGAAGAGCTGAGGGACAGCGCCCAGGCCCAGAGTTCAGGCCCTACAACCGGACCCCCCCCCAAAAAAAAAAAAAAAAAAAAAAACAAACAGGAATGTCACTGACTTTCCTGCCTGGGTTAGCTTTGAACTATGGTCCACAGATCTTAGCCTCCTAAGTTGATAGAATAATAGGCATGAGCCGGGCGCCGGTGGCTCACACATGTAATCCTAGCTACTCAGGAGGCTGAAATCTGAGGATATCAGTTCAAAGCCAGCCCAGGCAGGAAAGTCTGTGAAACTCTTATCTCCAATAAACCACTCAGAAAAACCAGAAGTGGTGCTGTGGCTCAAGCAGTAGAGCGCTCCCCTTGAGCTGAAGAGATGAGGGACAGCGCCCAAGCCCAGAGTTCAAGCCCATGACCAACAACAACAACAACAACAAAAAAGGATTACAGGCATGAGTCACCAGTGCTTGGCTATATTGATTATTTTATTTATTGCCAGTTCTGGGGCTTGACCTCAGGGCCTGGGCACTGTCCCTGAGCTTCTTTTGCTCAAGGCTAGCACTCTACCACTTGAACCACAGCACCACTTCCGGCTTTTTCTGTTGATGTGATACTGAGGAATGGAACCCAGGGCTTCATGCACGCTAGGCAAACACTCTATGTATTGGTTCTTTCTTTCTTTTTCTTTTTTTTTGGGGGGGTGGGCTACCCGGTCGTGGGGCCTGAACTTTGGGCCTGGGCGCTGTCCCTCAAGGCTGGCGCTCTACCACTTGAGCCACAGCGCCGCTTCCGGCTTTTTTCTTTTTGCTTATGTGGTGCTGAGGAATAGAACTCAGGGCCTCTACCACTGAGCCAGCTTCCCAGCCCCATGGTTATTTCTTGAGATAGGATTTAACTGATGTAGCCTGTACAGTGATCCTCCTATTTGTTTCCCTTTGCTTCTGGGATGTCAGGCATGCACCATCCCACCAGCCTTTGTTTGAGTAGTCTTGTTGACTTTGATGCATGGACAGGCCTTGAACTGTGATTCCCTCAGTGTCTGCTTCCCGAGTAGCTAAGATTACAGGTGTAAGGCAGTTGTACCTGGCTTTGAGTCCATCTCCCTCTATAGCCCAGGTTGGCTCAGGAGCATGTCCTAATTCCTGCATGGTGACCCGCCATTCTCCCTAGAGACCCTGGCTCCACCCCCCCAAGGAATGACATGGATGTTCAAGCAAAAATAGTTTATTTGAGGATGGAAGACTTAAAATTGGATGGTCCAAGAATGCAGCAGCAGCTGCTGCCTGGAGTTGACCCAGACCACCCTGAAGGCCTTGGGGGAGCTGGGCAGTGAGGATGCCCATTCCCTGGGACCCCCTTGCTGCCTCCCCTGGGGAGGGATTGTACAATACCAGAAGACACTGTCATTGTCCAGACATGTGAAGGTTTTTCAGCTTAGTGGCTAGTAATCCTGACGAGGTACAGACGCAGCCCAGTGCCCAGGCCAGCCATCCAGTGTTGGTGGAGTCTAGACAGGGTGAGGCAGGGATGGCGCATGGCTCTCCTTGTCAGAGCCTGGCCCAGAACCTCCAAGCAGCTCTTCCAGAAGTGGCCTCTCTTCCTTCAGCCCCAAATAGCAGCTACCTGCTCTGTACCTTCTCCATGGCCTTGGTTAGGTTCAAGCTAGGCCCGGCCCAAGTTTGGCTTATGACCCCTCCCACCCCCCCAATGTCTCAAAGACCCTTGCCAGGCTGGTCTCTGTGCCACGGCCTCCGGCGGGCAGCCCAAGAGGCCACAAACTCACAGTTGTGATAAAGGAACATTCCAGAAAGGGTCAGTACAATGCCCACATAGCTGAGGGTGCTGAGTTGGCTGCCAAATAGAACCCGGGACAGGATGAGGTTGCCCACGACGGTGAGGTTGCCCAGGACGTGGACGGTGAGGGCCGAGGTGAGGGCCAGCAGGGAGAAGCTGGCCAGGTTGTAAACCACAGACAGGAAGCAGCTGAGCAAGATGCAGGCCCAGAGCTGGGAGTCAGCGGGCGCCGGCAGCGGGGCCATGCCAGCCTCCAGCACCAGGGCAGCGCCCGCCAGCAGGCAAAAACTGGGCAGCGAGGTGGCGTACAGCAGGGTCACCGCGTCCATCCTCTCCTCCTGTAGCAGGGCACCTGCGGCCAGGACAGCAGCCGTCAGCACAGAACAACCGCACGCCCGAGTGCTGGGATTACAGGCATGCACCACTGCACTCAACCAAGTCCCTAAGACCACAACCCAGTTGTGAAGCTTCTGTACCCACTACCCCGACCTCCTCTTTCTTAGAGCCATCTAGTTCCCACACTAGCTCTGGCCACCTAGCAGGCACAGGTCAGCAGAGGGTCCCAGCACTGCTGTGTACTAGCTGCATGGCAACAGGAACGCAAAAGGGGAGAAAATGGAAGGAGAAGCAGAAGGAAACATGACGAAGGAGGCAAGAAGGGTCTTAGAATGATTTGAGTCAACATGGCATTCACTTCTGATCATTGGGATGACAAGGGAACAAACAGTCATTGTTGGATTTGGGCTGTCACTGTTCATCACTGATGATCAGCAGGGGTTTGGTTTTTACTGGGATTTGAACTCCAGACCTTATGTTAACCTTAGTTAGATATTCTATCACATGAGCCATGCTTCTAAGCCCTTTTTGCTTTAAGTTATCTTTGTTTTGTTTTGTTTTGTTATTACTGTCTTGCCCAGGTTAACTTCAGACAGCAATCCTCCTCCCCATGCCTTCTGTATAGCTGGGATTACAGACATGAATCACCATACCCAGCTTGTTGGTTGAGAGGGGGTGAGGGGAATGTCTCAGTAACTTTTTGCCTGAGCTAGCCTCAGACTTGGACCCTCTTGATCTCTGTCTCCCAGGTCATTGGGACTACAGGTGTGGATCACCATGCCCAGGCAAGCAGCGGGTTTTGCTACCAACTCTGGGTTTACGTAGATGAATCCAGAATGAACAGGAAATCCTGTTCAAGAGAAAGAGTTGCAAGGGGGGGGGTTAATACTTCCACCTGCCCAGGTACAGTTGCATGCCACACCCGTGAGCCACACCTGCTTCTACCCAGCCTAATCCACCAAGGAAACAGAGCCATCATCAAATCAGACACAGCCCAGCTGTGTGCACATGACAGCCTGTGCACAAGAGCAGTGATTACCAGGGTGTGTGTGTGTGTGTGTGTGTGTGTGTGTGTGTGTGTGTGTGTGTGTGTGTGTGTGTGTGTGTGTGTGTGTGTGTGTGTGTGTGTGTGTGTCGCGCACCAGTGCCAGAACTTGAACTAAGAGCCTCAAACTCCCCTTCAGCTTTTTGCAGTTATGACTGGGTGCTCTACCACTTGAGTTAGGTCTCCAGTCAGGTATTTGTGGAGGGGACTTTTTTTTTAATTGTAAAGATGATGTACAGAGGGGTTACAGTTACATAACCCAGGTAATAAGTACATTCCTTTTGGGGGTCAGGTGTGTTTGCTGATGGGAGAGTCTTGAGGAGCTTTTCTGTCCAGGCTAGCTTTGACCCTCCATCCTCAGAGCTCAGCCTCTCAATAGCAGGCTCACAGGCGTGAGCCACTGCAGCCCACTGGTTTGGGGCTTTCTGTGAGTGTGAGCCGAGGAGGATGAGTAACCCTTTCCCAACCACTCCCTGCCTAGCAGAGCCAGGCTGAGCCTTTTCCTGACACAGACTTTCCAAAGAGCCACAGCGGGGTTGACGCACCGGCCCTGCCTCCTGCTCTCTTGGCCTCCAAATTTAGCACTCCAACAAGCTGCCTGAGGCCTCACACTTCAGATCTCATCACAAAAAGGTCAAGGTCATCAGATGACCTTCACCTATGGAGGCCTGCAGGTTCTAGCCTTCCCTTCCTGCCTCTCCCACCTGACTCCCAGCCTGCCCAACCACCGCCCTCCATAACCCCTCTCCCAGGGGTCAGAGGGGAGTCATCCCCCCAAAAAAGTCAAGCCTGCCATTCTGACTTCTTAATGCCCCTGCAACAAACCCTCCACACTAACCTTCCCCCAACCCCCCCCCCCCACACACACACATAGGCTTTTTTGTTTCAGCATCTGCACTGGCTTCATACACACCTGCTCCTCCAAACCCTGTTCTCCCCTGCTAATACCTATCCCTTGTTAAGTCTCTGCTTGCTGTGTGATGCACTCACCCTGTGTCTCTGCCTCCTTGTAGTTAATGTGGTAAGGGTGATATGTCTCTCACAGGAGCCTGACACCCAGTGTGCCCAGCCTCTGCTGGCTGCTACCCAGTGCCCTGCACAGCCTGGATCCCATCCCGGAACACATGTTCCCATGGGATCCATAGGAAGAGCCAGGCATGGATTAAGTGGCTCCTTGTAAGGGCTCAGCCAGTGTGTGCTATGATGATCCCATTGTTGTCACTACCATGGCTGTATGCCTCCGCTTCCAGGCAGCCCTCTCAGGTCACTCCAGGAAGAAGCCCCACCTCGGTCATCCCTGTGCCCACCTTGCTCTAGAAGTTCTGTCCTGCTGAGTGAGGCTCCCCCCAGTCAGCCTGAAAACTCAAGACCACATTAGGCTGCCCTGTGATGCCAATGGGTAGGGCTGAAAACAGCCACAGCAGTCTGGCACCCCACTTCCCAGCCCTTCCCTCCCTCCCCCCCCCGCCCCGTGGACAGGAGGGCACCATCACCCCTCTCCCCATGCTGCCCCCCTGAGCCTACCACACAGCTGCCTGAGCTGTCTTCCTCCCAGACTCTGATCCATGCCTCCCAAGTGCCGGATCTCAGGAACAGAGCTGGAAGCAGCCACTGACACTCTAGTCTGAATTGAGTCCTGGCGCCTCTGGCAAAAATAAACCTTTCTCAAAAACCCACCTGGGGGGCTGGGAAGGTGGCTCAGTGGTAGAGTGGTTGCCTCACATGCATGAGGCCCTGGGTTCGATTCCTCAGCACCACATAAACAGAAAAAGCTGGAAGTGGTGCTGTAGCTCAAGTGGTAGAGCACTAGCCTTGAGCTGAAGAGCTGAGGGACAGCGCCCAGGCCCAGCGTTCAAGCCCCATGACTGACCCTCCCCCCCAAAAAAGTCTAGGGAGGAAGGTACAGAGTCAGAGGGAAACGGGGAAATATACAACAGAAGGGTCCATCAGCTTAATCTCAATAAAAAATTCAAAAGAAAAAAACCCATCTGGGCTCCCAGCTCCCGTCCTTCCTCATTTTGGCTGGGCTCCTATCTCCTGTCAGTAGGGCCTCTGGCTACCTTTGCTACCTCCTTAGCATCTGAGCCAGATAACCCCACCAGCTTACCAATCAGGATGCCAGAATTACCCACCAACTGCTCTCTGCCAGGCCCCAGGCCAGGTGCTGGGGACACAGAGAGACACTGGCCCTGGGACAGCCCAGAGCAAGCGCCCAACCCACCCAGGAAGCGAGGACGCTGGAATTGGGGGGAGGAGAGGACTGGCAAAAGCCAGGATGTGGCTGGATGCCAGGCCCATGCCACCTGGTGCCTGCATGCTCTAATACCTGGCTGGCCACAACCCCTCCTGTGGAGGGGGCGGCTGGGCCATGCCCGAGGCATATGTGGTCTCAGCAGGTGCAATCTGGGACCTTCTGGGCTTGGTGGCCTTGCCCAGGAGGCCCCATAGGGTCAGATTTCCCAGAGTCAACGCATGCCCAGAGCTCATATAACTGGAGGCTAAAATAGAACTAGGCTTGATCCTGCCTCAGGGCCCAGAATAGTGGGGACAGGACCTCTGGGTTCCAGCTCCAAAGATGCTATGGCAGGGCCTAGTTCAGACACCAACCTTCCCCGGCTACAGACGGCCCTCAACCCTAGCCCGGCACACCTGGAAATCCCTTCCTTCTCCTAGGCCTGGGCCACCAGAATCTCTCAAATCTCCTCATGCTCCAAAAAGGTGGAGAAACTGAGGAAAGAGACGACCTAGACAACCTGCTCCACACCAAGATGAATGAAGGCAAAGGCGGAGCCTTATGTGCCCTGGCCCTCCCCAGATCTCGCTTGGATTGAGGCTGAGATGCAAGCTGGGCCTCAGTTGTCCTCTACAGCATGGGCAGGAAGCACTGCTACCCTCAGGCAGATGGGTATAATAGAGTCTAGGCCTAGGGGCTGGGAAGGTGGCTCAGTGGTAGAGCGCTTGCCTTGCATGCCTGAGGCCCTGGGTTCGATTCCCCAGCGCCACATAAGCAAAAAGAAAAAAGCCAGAAGTGGCGCTATGGCTCAAGTGGTAGAGCACTAACCTTGAGCTGAAGAGCTGAGGGACAGCGCCCAGGCCCAGAGTTCAGGCCCCACAACTGGACCCCCCCCCCAAAAAAAATATTTGAAGCCAGTTGATTAAGGTGTTTAGCTGTTAACTAAAGATTTGTAGGTTAATATCCTATCAATCTAGAAAGGATTTAGCTTAATTAAAGCTATTGATTTGCGTTCATTAGATGTAGATGGTAGGTCTGCAATCCTTATAGCCAGAAATTAAGTTTATAAACTTACTTAGAGCTTTGAGAGTCTAGGCCTAAAGCCTTGGATGGGTCCTGAAGTCCTTAGGAGTTGTGTGACCCTGAATCAGTCATGAACTTCTTGGTACCAGGCCACCAGAAAAAAAAAACAAAAACAAACAAAACAAAAAATGGGCTGGATGTCAGACACCAGTGGCTCATGCTTGTAATCCTAGTTACTGAGGAGGCTGAGATCTGAAGCCAGCCCAGACAGGAAAGTTCATGAGATTCTTACCTCTAATTAACTACTAAAAAGCTGGAAGTAGAGCTGTGGCCCAAATAGTAGAATGTGAGCCTTGAGCAAAAAAATCCCAGGGACAGTGCCCAGATCCTAAGTTCAAGCTCCAGGACTGGTACACACACACACACACAAAACCAAACCAGGGCACACTAGCCTAACAAGGCCCCAAGTTCAAACCCCAGTATATCAAAAAACAAAACAAAACAAAAATCCTCTTGACAACGCTTTGGCAGGATAATCACAAGTTCGAGGCCAGCCTGAGTACACAGCAAGACCCACTTTCAACCCTCTACCCCTCTCTCCAAACCTTCTATGGGTCTTATATCACCAGTAAAGTGCTGATGAATAATATGGTTGCTATGACAACTAAAGATCAACATCTAGCTCCAGGCCTGTCACACTGCAGCCCAGCACTTCCAAATCATAGCAGTGGCTTGACCTCTTTCCCCTCCTCGTCCTCCCTCTGGGTTCAAAGCCTCACTTGAAAAAGCCACACACACCAGGGTGTCTCCAGCACCTGGGTTCAAACCCGGCTTGTGCTGTTCACAAGAAAGTATCTCCATCAGTCCACCAATAATACAGTACCAGCTGTTATCAGGCCCAGCAAGATTTAAAAAAAAAAACCTTGACTGGGAACAAAACAGAGATCTTAGGACCTCTTTGAACCTCAATTTCCTCTCTATACAATGAGATAATGGCCAGGTGCCATTGGCTCATGCCAGTAATCCTAGCTACTTAGGAGGGTGGAATCTGAGGATCACAGTTCAAAGCCAGCTCAGGTAGGAAAGTCTGCAAGACTCTGATCGTCAATGAATCACCAAAAAGCTGGTGGTAGTGGAACTGTGGCCCAAGTGGTAGAGTGCTAGCCTCAAGCCAAAGAAGCTCAGAACAGCGCCCAGGGCCTTAGTTCCAGTCTTCCCTGCGGCCACACCCCTCGGAGCATCCTGACCACACCCCCACCCGACTCCCCGTGTACTCACTCTGCTGGACGGATTTGAGGCCTCGCAGGCAAGTGGCTGCCAGCAAAAAGCCACAGCCGGCGGGAGGTGCCCGGAGCTCCCCGGCCAGGCTGCAGGCTGCCCCCAGGCAGAGCGGCCCCATGGCTGCGAACTGAAGGGGGTGGTGTCTTCGGCCCAGCAGCAGCGCCGACAGGGCCAGCGTGAAGAGGGGCGTCATGGTGGTGGCCAGCTGTGCCAAGTCCAAGGGGACGGTGCTCAGGCCCACATTGCCACAGGCCATGGAGGTGCCGAAGGTGAGACTGAGCAGCAGGACTCGGCGGTGGGCGCCCCCCGGCATGGGGCGCCGTGCCCTCCAGTGGCAGGCCAGCGCCGCCGCGAGCATGTGGAGGGCAGACAGGAGCAGGGGCCGCCCGAACCCATGCACCGTGAAGACCCACTTGTTCAGGCTTGACATGCTGGCTCCTGCCAGCACCCACACCACGGCTGCCACAGCCACCCGGGCCCGGCCAGGCCTCCGGAGGACCTGGGGGGTGCCGGGGGACCACGTGGGGGGGCCAGCCTCCCGGGCCCTTCCGGGCCCTTCCGCGGCTTCGGCTGAGGTCATCCTGCCTTCATGGCACTCGGGTGGGCAGCGGCCCATGCGCACCGGTGGGGCTGGGGCAGGAGGCAGGTCTTCAGGGCCCAGCGCAGGGCCGGCAGATCTCCGCTCGGGGCCCGGCCGGATCGCGGGCGCCTCTCAGGCAGGTCGGGGGTGGGGGGGGGCCCAGCCAAGGTCGGGGTGTCGGGCTGACAGCGCAGCTTGGGCCGGGGCACAGCCCAGGTCGTGGCTGCTGGATGCCCGGCCGTTTGGGGTTTTCTGGTCGGGTTTTTTTTGGTTGGTGCGTTGGTTGGTTTTGGCCTGGTGAGCTCCGGGCACCGCCGCCGCCCGGTGCTAAGCGAAGTCTCCCCGCCGCTCCCCGGCCCGTGCTCACACCGCGCTCCCGGATGGAATCCTCGGTCCTTTCTCCCGCCGTCCCCAGGCCGATCGGGCGGAGATCCCGACTCCTCGACCTCCTTTGTGCTCAGGCCGTGACGAGGCCTTGGTCCGGGCGACCACGGCTCCGGGTACCCAGGAGCTGGGAGGGTCTGGGGTCGGCGGTCGCTGATTGCTGCCTCCCACAGTGCCTAGGAGATGCGGCCGGCACCGACCCGCGTTCCAGCCGCTCCAAGCGGCGAGGTCGGCTTGGCTCGCGCAAGGCCTGCGCTCCGGCTCCCGCTCCGGCTCCCGCTCCGACTCCCGCTCCGGCACCAGCTCCAGCTCCGGCTCCCTCTTCGCGCTGCTCGGGCCGGAGGCTTAGGCTCCCTCAGCGTTTGTCCGCGGCGGGCGTGGCCCCACGCTCAGGCCCCGCCCCCTCCGCCCGCGCCCCACCCGGAAAGTTGGGCTGAGCCCCGGCCACGCCCGATAGGTCCAGCCCACGCGGCCACGCCCCCTTAGTGGCCACGCCCCTCCGCGCTTTCGCACGTCTTTTGCTGCCTACAGGCCCGCAGCCTCTTCTCCGCCATGCTCCCGCCCAGATCCCATCAGCTCCTCCTCCTCCTTCTTCCCAAGGTGTCACCGCTGCTGCTGGGTGGAGTCCGCCCCAGTTGGAGTACTCAGCCTGTTTTGTCCACACCAATAGGATAAGAGCCTTCTCTATTCAGCGCCCAGGCGCCACCCCACCCCCACCCCCGTAGAGATCAACACAGTGCCGGGGTAGGCCGCAGGTTGCCCAAGCTATCTTCAAAAAACAAATCCTTGAGGGCCCTGGCCACAGTCATCTCGTGGGATCTTGAGATCCAGCAGAGCTGGGCCACAGCTGGACACTTGAGAGCCCTTTTAGATCCAGTGTTTTTCCACCTCCTTCTGCAGATCAGAGTTGGAAGCTGAGTCACCAAGGCCGACCACAGCTGCGGGCAGAGGACCACCATCCAGGCTGACCCCCATCCTGGCCATCAGTCGGTGTCCCACCCTCTGGGCACTGAGAGCTGACTCATAGTGGACTCCTAGAATGGAAAGCAGGGTAGCTGCCACTAAGACCTTGTCCTGTCTGGAGTTTGGTTTTCCCATCCAAACCACAGATACTGTCTGAGTCAACAGAAATTGCAGGCGTGGCTCTAGAGTGCAGTTAAAAAACGAGCAAGGCTTAGCTTGGAGCCCAGTGCTGGCTGCGAGCCTCCTTCCCCTAGGAAATCTGTCCTCTTTCCCCTGCCTATCTGGAAAGTCCTCAGGACAGGCACCTGCCTGTCATTTAGCTTGGTGCGGCTCGCCCTCTGGTGGTCACACTCGGAAATGGCTGCAATTAACTCCTTTCCTGTCATTGGACACGGGTGAAAAATAAAAACAAAAACAAAGAAAAAAATAGCTTTCCAAAGCTCAGTAAAGAACCAGACCTCTCCTTGTCAGGAACACCAGGAATCTAGTTTTCTTCTGGCGATTCTGATGCTTCCTGAAGACTAAAAGCAGCAGCAGCAGCTGCTGCTGCTGCTGCTGCTGCTCCTCCTCTACCTCCTCCCCTCTCCCTCCCTCCCCCTTCTTCTTCTTTTGTTTTTGGTTGGTCCTGGGGCTATAACTCTGGGCGCTGTCCCTAAGGTTTTCAGCTCAAGGCTAGCACACTACCACTTGAGCCACAGCGCCACTTCCGGTCTTCTGAGTGGTTTTTTGGAGATAAGCGTCTCAGCCAGGTGCCCGGGGCACATACAGATAATCCTAGCTACTCAGGGGGCTGAGATATGAGGATTGTGGTTCAAAGCCAGCCCCGGGCAGGAAAGGCCATGAGACTCTTAACTCCATTAACGCTCAAAAACTGGAAAAGATATAATAGCTCAAATGGTAGAGTGCTAGCCTGGAGCTGAAGAGTTCAGGGACAGTGCCCAGGCCCAGAGTTCAAGCCCCATGACCAACAACAAAAAAAAAATTGCTAGATGTTGAGGAGCAGAGTACAGACTAAGGGATTTTCAGGCTGAGGTCCAAAAGTATAGGGACATTTAGATGGGGTTTCTCTAGGAGAGGGTATGGGAGGAAAACAGCCTGAACCAGCCAAGGAGGTAGAATAGAGGCATTTATTTTCTTCCTATATGTATGTATTGTGTATGATGTAGGATTTATTTATTTATTTATTTATTTAGTGCCCAGTTCTAGGGCTTGAACTCAGGGCCTGGACATTGTCTTTGACCTTATTTGCTGGTCTGGTACTCTACCAATTGAGCCACAGCTCCACATCTGGCTTTTTGGTGGTTCATTGTAGATTAGAGTCTCATGCACTTTCTTGCTAGGGCTGGCTTTGAACTGTGACCCTCAGATCTCAACCTCCTGAGTAGCTAGGATTATAAGCATGAACCTTTGGTGCCTGGCTCCAGCCTACTTCTTTTTGTTTGTTTGTTTTTGGGGAGTCCGGTGGTGGGGCCTGAACTCTGGGCGCTTTCCCTCAGCTCTTAAGCTCAAGGCTAGTGCTCTACCACTTGAGCCATAGCGCCACTTCTGACTTTTTTCTTTTTGCTTATGTGGTAATTTTGTTCATCTTCAAGCTTGTTTGTTTTTGCCAGTCCTGGGGCTTGAACTCAGGGCCTGGGCACTACACCTGAGCTTCTTTGTTCAAGACTAGCACTCTACCACTTGAGCCACAGAACCACTTCTGGCCTTTTCTGTGTATGTGGTACTACTGAGGAATCAAACCTAGGGCTTCGTGCATGCTAGGCAATCACTCTACCACTAAGCCACATTCCCAGCCCCTCTTTTCCAGTTTTTGTAAATTCACTCTCATAGAAAACACAATATTAAGAATAACTTCTCAAAACAAAAGCAACTGGAGGTTTCCAAAGCAGGAGTTTCTGGGAGGTTGAAATCTGTCTGTACCACCCCAACACCACCACCAAGTCGCCTCCATCTGGTGCCAGGACACTAGGAGGAAAGTAGATTAACCAAGTGTGACCTGGGTGGGCCCTCCTGGGATGGAGAAGGAGTCTGAGAGCCAGCCAAGATGCCTAGGAGGTCCTCAGTTTTCTCCCAGGGCAGGTAAGAATGACAGAGGCCTTAGGCACAAGAGAAGGAAGCCTGGTGGCCAAGGATATGCAGCTGGAGTGAGATCCCCACAGCATCTGGGGATCTGGAGTTACAGCTTTTAACCTCCCTTAACTGGAGAACAGCCAAGCTTTCCATAGGCTGTTCCCATGGAGAAGGGATGCTTCATATAGGGCTGTTTCCACGGAGACAGGGTGTTTATGGCAGCAGAGGGCTTCTTCACACTCATTGGGTCTACTTGAAAGCCCAGAGCAGTCAATACTGGCCCAGAGCTCCTCTTCCTTCTGGCCTTTAAGGGCCAAGCTCTTACTTTGGGAGGCAAGTGAGGTGGAAGGAGGACACTGAGGGATGCTGGGAAATGAAGAAAAACACATCTCTAGTAACTGGACTGCAGAGATGGTGGAAGGACCTCTTCTTGTCACTGCACGAACCTGGACACATCTCTTCCTTTTTGTTGGTGGTGTTTTGGCAGTACTGGAGTTTGAACTCAGGGCATCGTACTTGCTAGACAGGTACTCTACTGCCTTACCACCAGCCCTGCTTTTTGCTGGTTGTTTTGGAGATAGAATCTTGTGAACTTCTCTGTCTAGACTGGCCTAGCCGCCGGCTCCTGAGCAGCTAGGATTATAGGAATGTATGATCAGGCCCAACTCAGGCCATGCCCTAAGCCTTGCCCACTACTTGACACCTCCTCCTACAGCATTACTGTGATCTTGGGTGAACCACTTCCTCTTTTTGAGTACCCATGTCCTCATCGGCAAAGCAGAAATGAGATTTGGCATGGTTGCTCCTGCCTGTAATCTCAGCTACTCAAGAGGCTTACAATTCATGGCCAGCCAAGGCAAAAAAGTTACTGAAGACCTCATATCAACAAATAAGCCAGGCATGGAAGCCCATAGCTGTGGCTGAAACTGTTTGGGAATAAATAGGAAGTCTAAGGTCTGAGGTCAGCCCTAGACCAAAACCAAAACCAAAACCAAATCCCAAACCACAAAACCCTACCTGAAAAAAAAAATAACGAAAACAAAAAGGACTAGTAGTATAGCTCAACTGGTAAAGCACCTGCCTAGCAAGTATAAGGCTGTGAGTTCAAATTCTCGTGCTCTCCTCCCTTCCCCTGTGCTGCCCAGCATCAGACACCAGCATGCTCCAACCCTGCTTCAGACAACCAAGACTTTAATGGAGTCACAGATGGGAGATGAGCATTGCGGAGACCTTGCGTAGCACCAGGCCCAGCTCTGTGGCTGTCACCTGTCGGGAGTGGAGAGCTGAGGGTCAGGGCCACAGTCCCTGGGCGGCGGAGGCCTTCCTGCAGGGCGTGGGTGGGAGGCTGAGGGCCAGGGCACCCCTGATCTGGGCTGGCAGACATCCCAGGAGAGGCGCCCAGCTCTCTGCTCTGGAGTGAGCAGTGTAGCTTCTTCGGATCTTTGCAGGGGTGGTGGCTGAGGTGGTGCGTGTGCAGAAGGTGGCAGCAGAGCCAGGCCAGGATCTGTTCCAGGAGCGAGGCCAGAGCATGGGGTCCCACCAGGCTGGGTACTGGGCGACGCAGTTCAGAGACTACCAGCTAACCAGCCTCAGCTCAATGGTTTCTCCATCCTGGGGTTTGTAGTCAGCAATGCCTGCAGGAAGAGGTAAGGGCAAGAGGATTCACCAGGAGTACGATCCCACCTGACCCTCAGCATCTGGACCTCCCCTGCCCGCCTAAAGCCACGGTCAATAAGATCTACTTAGACTGTTTGTTGTTGGTGTTGTGTTGTTGTTGTTGTTGTACTGGTCCTAAGGCTTGAACTCATGTCTTCTTGTTTGGCTTTTTCAGTAAAGGCTACTGGAGCCACTTCTGGCTTTTTGCAGGTTAATTGGAGGCAAATGTTTCATGAACTTTCCCTGCTCAGGCTGGCTTTGAACTGAGATTCTCAGATCTCAGGGTCCAGAAGAGCCAGAACTACAGAGGTGAGCTACCAGTGTCTGGCTATACTGCTTACTTTTTGAGATAGGGTCTCTCTTTCTGCCTGGGCATACACCTGGACCACAATCCACCTGTTTTAATCTTTTCAGCATAGTGAGGATGTCAAGCACACATCGCCGCACAAAGCTTTCCAATGAGATGGAGTTTCTTGTCCAGGATATAGTAGAACCATGATCCTCCTATTTCCCACCTCCCACAAAGCTGGACTGACAGTCATCCACTTCTGATGTCTCATTGTTTTTTTGTTTTAAGTGGAAAACCCAAACATTGGGGGTATATCTAGAAGCAAAAACACCCCCAATTTATTTTTAAGTGGTTGTTTTTAAATAGTGAATTATAGGTGATTTTATGTATGTATTTATTTATTGTGGGGGTTGGGGGGCTTGAACTGTCTCAGAGTTTCTTTTGCTCAAAGCTAGCGCTCTACCACTTTGAGCCACAGTTCTACTTCCAGTTTTTGAGTGGTTAATTGGAGATAAGAGTCTCACTGGGACTTTTCTGCCTGGGCTGGCTTTGAACTGGGATCCTCAGATCTCAGTCTCCTGGGTAGCTAGGGTTACAGGAATGAACCACCAGTGCCCAGCTTACAGATGATTTTAATTTTCTTCTTTTAAAACTCTTTCTAGTACACGTGAAGATTTCACAATAGCTTCCACAAGAAGTCTACCGAGTTAATGAAATGAATTATATTTAACCATTGAGCATCGGTGATTTGCAGCTTTAACCCAGGAAGGCTCACTGCGGGAACAGCGTGTGTACAGGGGGCACGTCTAGGGGTGATGGGCTAGCAGACCCACCTTGCAGCAGGGGAGTGTCAGGAGCTCGGAGAAGCTGCCAGTACTCTTGATCCCCGGCTTCTTTCCCCATCACTGAGGTCAGGTAGGGGCCTGACAAGGAGGCCTTGGTTCCATACCTAGAAAAGGGAAAGGTGGAGAAAGAGGAGGCACCTGTCATCCCCAAGGGGAGATTGAGAGTTCACATACATCTGCAGAAGTCCTGCCTTCACCTTCAGGGCCAGTATCTAGGACCGGGCATCCTGTGCTGCTGGGCACAATGGTGACTAAAACTACAGTGGAGGCAGGACCTGGTGGCTCACACTTGTAATCCTTGCTACTTAGGAAGCTGAGATCTAAAGCTCGTGGTTCCAAGCCAGCCCGGGCAGGAAAGCCCATGAGTCTCTTATCTCCAATTAGCCACCAGAAAACAGGAAGTGGTGCTGTGGTAGAGTGCTCACTTTGAGCTGAAGAGCTCAGGGACAGTGCCCAGGTCCAGAGTTCAAGCCCCATGACCAACCAAAAACAAAGTGCAGTGGACGAACAGTACAGGCCTGCACTTCTGCAGGGTCCTTATGTCAACGTTATTGGCTTTTCAGTTTTGTTGTTGTTGTTTGCTTTTTTGTTTGTTTGTTTTTTGATCAGCTGTGGGGCTTGAAGCCACAGCTTGGCCACTGCTCCTGAGATTTTTGGCTCAAGGCAAGCGCTCTACCACTTTGGGCCACTGCTCCACTTCCAGTTTTCCAGTGGTTAATTGGAGGTAAGAGTCTCTTGGACTTTCCTGCCTGGGCTCTGGACTTCCCTGCCTGGGCTCACTTTGAACTATGATCCTCAGATCTCATCCTCCTGAACAGCTAGGATGACAGGTGTGAGCCACCAGCACCTGGCTAAGACTCCAGTTAGCTACCATGATGCCAGAAGCGGAGCTGTGGCTCAAGTGGTAGAGGTCTAGTTTTGAGCAAAAGAAGCTCAGGATCAGTGCCCAGGCACCAAGTTCAAGCCCAAGGTCTGGCAATAAATAAATAAACAAATACATACATACATACATAAATAAGAAACAACTTTATTTATTTGGCAATACTGGGGTTTGAACTCAGGGACTCAAGTTTGGTTGACTGGCACTATTCTACTTGAACCACACCTCTAATCTAGTTTTTATTTTCTTGCTGGTTAACTAGAGATGGAGTCTCCAAGGCTTTCCTGCCTGGGCTGGCTTCGAACTAACATCCTACGCATAAGCCATTGGCACTGGGCTTTATTTCATTTTTGAGATAGGAACTTACTTTGTCCAGGTTGGTCTCAAACTTGAGATGCTTCTACCTCTGCCTCCCAAATTGCCAGGATTAAGTGTGCATCACCACACCCAGCCCTAAGCCTTCCTCACAAGGCTGCTCCCTGGCTCCTTGTTTCCATATCAGTATGGACTAGCAAGGAGTACAGAAGACAGACACCGAAGTTGGACTGGTCCTTCTTCCAAGGAAGCCCTCTCCTCTGTCCTCTGCCCCTTCCTGATCTCATTTTGTGCCCGGAGGCCTTGAGCGGGTGAGGGCTGGGAGGTGAACGGACTCACGTGAACCCTCCAAGTTCTTGGGCTTTCTTCAGGACATCCTCCAAGGAGGACCCAGCGAGGATGGAGATGGCCTGTTGGTACGGCGGCACAATGCTGGAGACCTTCAGGGTGACACTGATCATCCTGGGCGCGTGGATCAGGGACGGGCCCTCAGTAGCTGGCATCAACATGACTGCCAGGGAGACAGAGAGCCCAGATGTGAGTCCTCCTGTCTTTTTTTTTTTGTCGGTCGTGGGGCTTGAACTCTGGGCCTGGGCGCTGTCCCTCAGCTCTTCAGCTCAAGGCGAGCGCTCTACCACTTGAGCCACAACGCCACTTCCGGTTTTCTGGTGATTTATTGGAGATAGGAGTCTCACGGTCTTTCCTGCCCGGGCTGGCTTTGAACCGAGATCCTCAGATCTCAGCCTCCTGAGTAGCTAGGATGACAGGCGTGAGCCACCAGCGCCCGGCAGTCCTCCTGTCTTCCTGCAAAGACCCTATGACCCTGTGGACCATGGCCCTCCCTGGGTCTCAGCCATGATCACAGGATCAACAGCCCCATCTCTTTGACCCTGGCCTCCACAGCCTCCCAAGGCCCAAGGGCCCTGGTTTCTCTGCTTCTAGTACATTCCCCTCCCACCTACCTGCCCCATTGCACCCTGGGGGCTCCTTCTAGAACACTCATTGCTTACGCTTCCTTACCTCTGATGGTCTCACCTCCTTTCCCTTCCTGCTTCCTGCTCTCCACCAATTGCTAATTTCCCTAACCCCCCCCCCCCAATTCTTTTGTTGTTGTTGTTGTTCTTGGAGATTTGTATGTGTGAGCCAGTGGTAGGACTTGAACTCAGGAGCTTGACTCTTGCTTGATTTTTTTTTTTATTGTTCAAAATTGGCTCTCTACCAATTGAGCCACACCTCTACCTCTGGCTTTTTTTTGCTAGTTAATTGGACGTAAGAGTCTCACAGATTTGTCTGCACTGACTGGTTTTAAACGAGGATCCTCAGATCCCAGCTTCCCTGAGTAGCTAGGATTACAAGCATGAGTTACCAGATACTGGCATAAATGATGGGTTTGCTCATTTGCTTTTTTTTTTTTTTTTTTACTAGTCCTGGGGCTTGGACTCAGGGCCTGGGCACTGTCTCTGAGCTTCATTTGCTCAAGGCTAGCACTGTACCACTTAAGCCACAGCACCACTTCTGGCTTTTTCTGTTTATGTGGTATGAGGAACCGAACCCAGGGCTTCATGCATGCCAGGCAAGTACTCTACCACTGAGCCACATTCCCAGCCTCTGTTCATTTGTTTTTGAGATGGTGTCTCACTACCAGTCCGAACTGGCTTTGAACTTGACATGCACCCCAGGCTGGGCTCAAACTCATGATCCTCCTGATTCAGCCTCCCAACTGCTATGCCCTCTCAAATTCTTTTTTTTTTGGGGGGGGGTGCCAATACTAGGGTTAGAACACAGGGCCAGGGCACTATCCCAGGCACTATCCCAGCCAAAGCTCCACTTCCAGCTTTTTGGTATTTAATTGGAGATAGGAGTCTCATAGACTTTCCTACCCAGGCAGGCTTTGAACCAGGATCCTCAGATCTCTGCTTCTGAGTTAGCTAGGGTTATAGCTGTGAGCACCAGCTTTTGCTGGTTACTTTGATATAAGAAAATAAGATCTTACTTCCTGCAGCTATCCACTTCTGTGAGGCTTCCCCAGTAGCTAGGTTAGCAGGTGCATGCCACCTTGTCCAGCTCTCCATTGAGAAGAGGCCTCATGAACTTTTCTACCCTGGTTGGCCTCAAATTGTGATACTCCTGATCTCAGCCTCCCAAGTAGCTGGGCTTACAGGAGTAAGCCACAGGCACCCAGTTCTCCCAAATTCTTTACCTCTCGGTGTTGTGCTTATGATCTTGCTGCCTCCTTTTCTCTTTCCTTTCTCCTTGCAAATTCCCTCAACACCCTGTTTCATGGCTGCCGTCCTTGAGGCTCACCGTGAAACAGAGTTAATCAAAACATGTCTCTCCCTATTCCTCAACCCATTCATTCATTCACTCAAATATTTTTCTCCACTGAAGCTGGGTGCTGGTGATTCACATCTATAATCCTAGCTATTTTGGAAGCTGAGATCTGAGGACCCTAGTTTGAAGCCAGCCCGGACAGACAAATACAAGAGATTCTGATCTCCAATGAACCAACAAAAAAGCTGAAAGTGGATGAGTGGCTCAAGTGGTAGAGCACCAGCCTTGAGAGAAAAAAAAAGAGCATAGAACAAGAGTACAGGGCCCTGAGTTCAAGCCCCAGCATTGGGCTAGCACGCGCGCGCGCGCACACACACACACACACACACACACACGCCAAGCAACTTCCCTCTTGCTGGGACCAGCAGACAGCCGAGAGGCCTTGGGGCTGGCAGGTAACACAAAGGGCTTGAAGAATACAAAAAGCCCTGCTACCTCTTGGTGCCTGGCAGTCTGGGAAGATGAGATCGATGTAGGTCTTGCTGTTCAGGACAGGAAGCAGCTGGGAAATCATGAGAACATTCTGGAAGCTCTCCTCCTGCAGGCTGGCCAGCAGAGCGGTCCTCGCCTTTAGGCACGCAGCACCCAGCTCCACCGCAGGCATTGAGGAGGTCATGAGCAACTGTACCAAGGCAGAGAAGACAGGAAGGAGGGGCCAGTCAGTGGGAGGAGCCAGATCTTCCAGCCACTGACCAATCCCCAGCAGCCCCTGGGAAGAACCAAGGCTCCAGTGTCTCCTTCCCACCTGCAGTGCCAAAGGGGTGCTGTAGACATTCCCAAAGTAGCCCTCGGGGGTCTGGGCCAGCAGGACTTTTTCTCGTGTTGTGGCCACGGCCACGGTGATCCGTGGCCTCAGATCCGGGTTGAAGCCAGAGCGCTCCAGACAAGTGAAGGCCAAGCCAGCCATGGCCATTGTGTCTGAGTAGGGGACAAGAAAAGGGTGAGCCAGACGACCCCATGGAGCCAGGCCTGGCAGGGCATTGGGGTTCATGTCCTTGTGGTTATGGGCAACTAGTGAGGGCTCAAAGAGGGGGGACAGCTATGTAATCACATCAGCTAGGTGTTTTGCCCAGGATTCTCCTGGTCTGGAACCGAACTCAAGAAACTTTACTCCGTGTGTGTGTGTGTGTGTGTGTGTGTGTGTGTGTGTGTGTGTGCCTGCCTCCTCTAGATAATTTTAACGTGTCTGCTGTAGTTTTTTTTAATCTGTTCTCAGAGCCCCTGCTGTTGCCCTTTCGGTGGGTATCTACATACCCTTCTCCCCTTCCCCTATGCAAGGAGCATACTCTTTCACCCAAGACCTAGACAAGACCTTAACTTTTCGTAAGAAATGCAAAAAAGCAAACTAAGGTCACACAATGCAGAAGCGGGTCCAGAACTCAGGTCCCCAAATCCCAGCTAATAGAATGCTAAGATCAGAGCTATGTGCCTGGAACATTCTCCATATCAGGCTCATGCTAAACCCTTGGCTTGTATGACATCCTTTATCAAGAGATTCTGTCTGGAAGGTCATTTTAAATGAACCATCGCTTGGCTTGCCCTGGGGAAGGTGTGTGTGTGTGTGTGGGTGTGTGTGTGTGTGTGTGTGTGTGTGTGTGTGTGTGTGCGCGCCCCCCCCTCCCCCATGAGCCCCTCATTGCTAAGGAATTTGATAAGGCTGGGTCCCAAGGGAACAGTGAATATGGGGACAGGTCCTGTAGGAGGCTTCAATGGGCTCAGGTCCACTCACCCACAGAGAAGTGGCCCTGGTGGAGATGGTGGTCGTGTTCCACCGCGTACAGCAGCTTGCCCACCACGTGGTCATGGACCCGCTTCTGGTGGAGACACAGGGCCAGGATGCCGAGGCCGTACTTGTAGTAGCCACTATGGGGGTGACCCTTGTGGTTGTGCCCTGAGAAGGAGAAGAAGGAGGTGATGGGAAACAGGTCAAGTGCTAGCATCTGGGGATACTCGTGCCATTTCCTGAATCTCCAATCCATTCTTACTTTGTTTGTGATTGGTTTATTTTTTTTGTGCCAGCCCTGGGGTTCCAACTCCAGGATCTAGGCACCATCCCTTAACTTTTTCTCAAGGAGGGTGCTCTACCACTTAAGTCACAATCACTTCTGGCTTTTTGGTGGTTAACTGGAGATAAGTGTCTTATAGACTTTCTTGCCTTAGCTGGCTTTGAACCATGATCCTCAGAGCTCAGCCATTGCATAGCTTGGATTACAGGGACACTTTCTTTTTCTTTACCTTTCTTTAGGTGTGTGTGTGTGTGTGTGTGTGTGTGTGTGTGTGTGTGTGTGTGTGTGTGTGTGTGTGTGTGTGTGTGTGTGTGTGGTGCTTTACATTTGCTAGGTTGGTGCTCTACCACTTGAGTCATACCTCCAGCCCTCTTTTTGCTTGTTATTTTCAAATAAGGTCTCAAGATCTTTTCGTCCTACGTTGGCCTCAAATTTAAGGTCTCAAGATCTTTTCGTCCTACGTTGGCCTCAAATTGTGATCCTCAGTCTCAATACTCAATCTCCTGTGTTGTTAAGATTATAGAAGTGAGACCACACCTGGAAAAAAGATGTTTGTGTGTGTGTGTGTGTGTATGAGAGAGAGATACTGACATTTTTAATTCAGAGCCTTGAGCTTGCCAGGCAGGTGCTCTACCACTTGAGTCATGAGTCCCATCATTTTTGCTTTAGTTTATTTTTCAGATAGTATCTTCCACTTGTTCCTGGCTTGGACTATAATCCTACTTTTGCTTCCCAAGAAGCTTGGATTAGAGATGTTTACTACCATTCTTAGCCTGGGATTTCTATTGAAAATACTCGCTCTAGCTGCTAGTGCTGGGTTGAGTTGGGAGCCCAGGAAATTGGCAGCGAGTTGACTGCTTACAGAAGTAAGCAGTAAAGAGGCTGGACAGGTGTCCCAGAGGTGGGTGGTCAGGTCAGCCTTAGTGGCTGAGCATCAGGTCTTATCAAAGAGTGGAAAGGCAAGAAAAGGAGGGCTAGGCTGCTAGCAGCTGGGAGTCTGTGGTTCCTACCTGTAATCCTAGCTACTTAAGAAGCTAAGAGGGCTGGGAAGGTGGCTCAGTGGTAGAGCGCTTGCCTTACATGCTTGAGGCCCTGGGTTCGATTCCTCAGCACCACATAAGCAGAAAAAAAAAGCCGGAAGTGGCGCTGTGGCTCAAGTGGTAGAGCGCTAGCCTTGAGCTGAAGAGCTGACAGCGCCCAGGCCCAGAGTTCAGGCCCCACGACCGAACCCCCCCCCAAAAAGAAAGAAAGAAAGAGAAAAGCAGCTAAGATCCAGTGGACCATGGTTTGAAGCTAACCTCAATAGAAGAATCTCCATCTCAAAACAAAAAAATCAGTCAAAATCTGGGCTCTAGGCATGGCTTAAGTGGTAGAACAGCAACTGATCGAGCAAGTTGCTCAAGTGTACTGCCAAAAAAAAATTACAAGGAAGAGAGAAAAAAGGAAGAAAGGCTGGCAGGCAGGCAGGCAGGAAGGCAGGCAGGCAGGAAGGCAGACAGGCAGGCAGGAAAGGCTACTAGGGCAGGTCCAAACCACTACAACATTAGTGAAATGGAAGCATGGAGAAGGAAAAGAGACTGGGCAGGAGACCCAGCGTTTTGTTTGGTACTGAGGTTTTGAACTCAGGGCCTCTCCCTGGTTTGCTAGGCAGCCATTCCACCACGTGTGGTTACACTCTTAACCCTTTGGCTTTAGTTATTTTCCAAATGGGGTCATATATTTTTGTGTTTTCTTTTTTCCTCATTGTTGCAATCCTCCCACCTCGCTTCCTGAAGAGCAGAGATTACAGGCAGCACCCCCACCCCCACCCCCACAATTCAGATTCTCAGCAGGAATCCCAGCTAATGAGCCCTCCCCACTGGTCCTCCCCACACTAGTATGAGGCGTCTCCTCACCAATCGCCCTCTTCTCATTCTCCAGGTACCACTTGAGCTGGGAGACCAGCCTGTCTCCCTTCTGGCCCCCGATGAACTCGCAGTTGGCCCTGAGAGCCAGCAGGTAGAGGGCCAGCTGGCCCATGGAAGGCTTGATCTCACAGTCACTGTTGTCATCTTCAGAGACAGGCCTAGGACAAAGCCAGTGATCAATATTTCTGCGGGTAAATGTCACCTGCATAAGCCTGTTTGGGGGTACTCCCTCCAACATCACAAAAATAAGGGGGAAAAAACCAACAGCTGGATACTGCTAGAACCACCGAATTAGGTGTTAGCCATGTTACAGAGTATATATTACAGATATTTAGAAGATGAAGGGTTTTTGTGGTATTGGGTTTGCACTAAGGGTCTTGACAGGCATGCTACCACTTGGGCTGTATCCCAACGCTCTTTTTGCCTTAGTGATTTTTATCACGTAGAGTCTCATGGGTTTTCCTCAGGGAGTCTTGACTCATGGTCCTCCTGTCTAATCCTCCCACCGCATAGCCGCATCAAAAAGATGTGTGCTGGCCTGGAAATGTGGCTTAGTGGTAGAGTGCTTGCTTAGCATGCATGAAGCCCTGGGTTCGATTCCTCAGTACCACATACAAAGAAAAAGCCAGCCAGGCACTGGTGGTTCATGCCTGTAATCCTAGCTACTCAGGAGACTGAGATCTGATGACCACGGTTTAAAGCCAGCTTGGGTAGAAATGTCCGTAAGACTCTCATCTCCAATAAACCACCAGAAAACTGGAGGTGGCAGTGTGGCTCAAGTGGTAGAGCACTCATCTTGAGCTGAAGAGCTCAGGGACAGCGCCCAGGCCGAGTTCAAGCTCCACGATCAACAAAAAAAGAAAAGAAAAGAAAAAGGCAGAAGTGGTGCTGTGGCTAAACTGGTAGAGTGCTAGCCTTGAGCACAGAGAGGCTCAGGGACAGTGTTCAGGTCCTGAGTTCAAGCCCCAGCCCCAGGACTGGCAAAAAAAAAAAAAAAAAAAGATGTGTGCCACCATTCTAGACTGGTGGTTGAGATGGAAGTCTTAACTTCTGTCCTGGTAGAGTTTGAGCCCTGATCTTCCCAATCTCTGCTTGCTGGCTAGCTGAGATTATGGGCATTAGCTACCAACCAGGCAAGCTATAAGATGAAATATGAAACTCAAGGATAAACTCTGAGGGCTCCTGACTCTAAATTGTCTGTGTGCTTGGCCCACATTTTGGCCATGTTTCATCATACATGCTCTTATCTTTCTTCTTCCTACATCTATTTCTTTTGAGAGGCCAAACAGGACGGGAAGATGCTTTGTGGCTACTCCTGATTCTTTACAACACCCTCCTCCTCCCCCAAATAGGCCTCTCTTAATGTTCCTTGGAAAGGAAGCACAGAACAGTGCTTTCTGGACTTAGTATGAAAGAATGCAGTCACTGATTAGTGATGTCTGACATGCTCAGGAAAGGAACTCAGAAAGGGTCGGGCGCTGCTTCTGGGCTGGGCTGAGAATGTGGTCATGGATTAATGATGTCTGCCTCATGCACTGAATAGAGGAGCTCAGAAAGTCCGGGATTGTTTCTTGCCTCAGTATGAGAGAGTTCAGTCATGGATTAGTGATGTCTGCCTCATGCACAGGAAAAGAGCTCAGAACGTGTCAGGGGCTACTTCTGGGTTAGGTATGAGAGTGATGTCATGGATTAATGATGTCTGCTTCACACACTGAGGCAGAGAGGTGTGGTACCAGGCACAAAGGATCTACATTAGCATCTCTGATCTACTCCAACCAACCCCTTCATTCTGCCAATGAAGGAAAGCCCAGAAAAGACAAATTGCCTGAAGTCTTCCTACTAAGTAGTGCAACAGTCCCAAATCAGACCCCAGGTCTCCCGCCTGTTAGGATATGGGGAAGAAGAGAGTGGGCCACAGTACCCCAGGAGGCACCGCTGGTAGTTGAGCTTGAGGCTGTGCAGGTAGAGGTCTTCCTTAGTCCCAGCCTGTAGGCTGGAAAGGCGCAGGCCCACGTAGATGCTGGGGTTCAGGTGCTCCAAGGAGAGCTGGTCCATCCAAGGCAAGAGACGCTGGCCCAGCTTGTCCACCAGCTGGCTGTCCACCTGTGGTATGACTTAGGGGAGAAAATGGTACAAGTGGAACCAGAAGGCCAGGCCACCAGGAAACAACTGCTTTTATCTTACCCAAGTCTTCTACAGGAACTAAAGTAGATAAAGAGAGAAAGTCTGGGCAGTCAGAGCTGAGTGTGGTGATCCAAGCCTAGAATCCCAGCGCTTGGGAGGTAGTGGCAAGAGGATCATGAGTTCAAGAACAGCCTGAGCAAAACCTTGTCTTAAAAACAGAAAAAAATAAATCACCAACATGCACATCTGTAAGCCCCCATACTCGGAAGGTAGAGGCTGGGGGATCACAACTCAAGGCCAGGCATGATCAAAAGCAAGAGACCCTATCTAAAAATTGAAACTGGAAGCTAAAGGATGAAGGGTGTGGCTCAAGGCCCTGAGATCAATCCCAAGTGCCCAAACAAAGCCAAACAAAACAGGGTCCCTTAGAGATTGTTCTAAAAGAACTTTTTGTTCCCATTTAACTGCCTTCCCATGGCTGCTGGCTCCAGCTGCTGGCCTACCTAGTGTCATATCCCAGGATTCCAAGAAGGCCGCCCCACCCAGACAACTAAGGAAAACAACCACTGGCCTGCCTCTTATCCTGAGAACCATAGTTCTTTGGATACAGCTGAGCTCTCTGAGTTTCCAAAGTCACAGGTATCCTTGTGATCAGGTGACCATTCCCTGGTGGCTGAGCTCCAAATAATTCTTTGCTGTGCAGGGCCAGGCCTGAGCAAGTCATTGGATTCTTACCAAATATTCACTCAGAAAGTCAAGGGGGTGGGGGATTTAAAAATAAGCTGGGTGCTGGTGGCTCATGCGTATAATCCTAGCTACTCAGGAGGCTGAGATTTGAGGTTTGAGATTTGAAATGTATACAGATAAAGCTGTGAGTTGTTTTTTTTTTTTGGGAGGGGTCCAGTTGTGGGGCCTGAACTCTGGGCCTGGGTACTGTCCCTCAGCTCTTCAGCTCAAGGCTAGCCCTCTACCACTTGAGCCACAGCGCCACTTCCGGCTTTTTTCTTTTTGCTTATGTGGTGCTGGGGAATCGAACCCAGGGCTTCATGCATTGCAAGGCAAGCACTCTACCACTGAGCCACCTTCCCAGCCCCAAAGCTGTGAGATTTTTAATCTCCAATTAACTAGCAAAAAGCCAGACGTGCAGATGTGGCTCAAGTGGTAGAACACCAGCCTGAGTAAAAGAGCCAAGTAAAAAAATGCCAGCTGCCGGGTGATGGTGGCTCATGCCTATTATCCTAACTACTCAGGAAACTGAGCTCTGAGGATCATGATTCAAAGCCAGCTTTAGGCTGACTGTGAGACTCTTATATCCTATTAGGCACTATAAAAAGCCAGAAGTAGAGCCATGGCTCAAATGGTAGAGCGCTAGCCTTAAGCAAAAGAAGCTCAGGGACAGTGCTCGGGCCCTGAGTTCAAGCCCTAGGACCAGAAAAAACAAAAAAGAGTACAAGGCCCTGAGTTCAAGCCTCAGAACCGACATAAGAAAAAAAGTTATAAGCTGAGACTTGGGCAGTGGAAGAAGGCTGAGAACCACAGTTTAATCTCAGAAAGAAGACACTGGGCAGACTGACCTGGCTAATAAAGGTGCCTTTGGGTGAGGGCCCTCCCCACTGGTGCCTCCTGTGCCCAGTGCCACCCAGCTGAGTGACATCGGCCTTTGGAATCATAGGTGTCCATCTTGCATTAGCTTAAGGGGCAAATCCTGCCAGGCTCCTGGCCTGCAGAGCTTGAAGCTCAGACAGCAGGTGCCCTGAGTTCTTGGCACCACACCGAGGAGGAGGAGGCAGGAGAGGCCGACATGTTCTCACGAACGGGAAAGAGACCAGGATCAAGTAAATGACATAGCAGCACCAAGTGGCACCCTCAACCCCATCTTAAGTTCTCTAGACCCTAAAAGGAAGGGTCTTGTGTGGGCCGAGGGAAGGGCGTCAGGTTTAGGGGCCAATGCCCAAGGCTGAGATGGGGCTGGTCTGGTGGGAGGCAGGAAGTTTGGCTGGGGTACTTCTGGTCTCCCACAGGAACTTTGTAGGTGGGCCAAAGGCCTGGTCCAAGGACCTTGTGGAACATAGGTCAAGAGGCTTTGGGAGAAGATCCCACCTGCAGATCTGTGAACAAGTCACTTGACCCTTGACCCTTCTGAACTCTGACTTTTTTTCTTTTTCTTTTTTTGTCATGGGGCTTGAATTCATGTGCCTGAGCTCTTCAGCTCAAGAGAAACGTTCTACCACTTAGAGCCACAGTGCCATTTCTGGTTTTCTGGTGGTTCATTGAAAATAAGAGTCTCACAGACTTTACTGCCCGGGCTGGCTTTGAAGCGCGATCCTCAGATCTCAGCCTCCTGAGTAGCTAGGATGACAGGTATGAGCCACCAGCATCTGGCCGACCTCTGTCTTCTTTGCCTGCACACAGCTTACCTGTCTCTCAGGATTTCCCACGGTCACCTGAGCCCTGGGAAGGAGCAAAGGAGAAAGGTGGATGGCTGGGATCCTGAGACCTGTACAGGGGCCAGAGCCACAGGCAGGCTGAAAGGCCCCTCAGTGGGTGGTCCTGGATGAGAGATAGGGGCTGAGCCTCCAAGCATGCCCTTTCCTGGGCCTTCAATTCTCAGCTCCACTCCTTGCTGGCTTTTTTTCTCCTAGTCCTCAGAGACCCTTCCCCATACCCACCACTACCTGAGCTGGCAAACTCTTCTCCTCTCTGCCGCAGCCTGGCTTCTGCTCACCATAACCTGGTTTGCTGATTGCTTTCGTCCGTCCCTTCCCTTGGAATATAAGCTGTAGGAGGGCAGGGATCAGACACATTTTGCTCTTATTCTTTCTCCAAATCTAACTGTAGGCCTGGTGCAGAGAATAAACAGATACCTGAATTAACAAAGATAGAGTTTGTGTGTGTGTGTGTGTGTGTGTGTGTGTTGGCATTGGGGCTAGAACTCAGGGTCTCATGTTTTTAGCTTTGTCACTCTAGGCTAGTGCTCTAACACTTGAGCCACAGCTTCACTTCTGGCTTTTCACTGCTTAATTGGAGATGAGATTTGTCTGCCTAGGCTGGCTTGGAACTAGGATCCTCAGCTCTCAGCTTCCTGGATTGCTAGGATGACAGGTGTGAATGACAGATACTCATCTTGTTAAACATGGCAAACCCTGAGGTCCAGCCATGCCCAAACTACTGTGGAATCTCCCAGAGGCACCTGAGTTTCCCCAGCCCCCCATGTCCCGCCCGCCCCCAGCAAGCCTCAATTTCCCCAGTTATATAACAAGTTTCATCTCTGAGCTCCAAGTTCAAAGGCAGCCTCATGGAGACTGGTGACTCACCACAGTCCTTAGCCAGAGCCCCCAACAGGAAGCTTCCCAACAGGAAGAGGAAGGCCCCAAGACACCCCATGGCTGGGGAGCAGGTGGGAAGCAGGGCAGACTCTTGAGGCTGGCCTTGAAGATACTGGGCACTTGCAGCCTGACCACCAGCGATCCCGGCTTCCTGTCACTGATTAATCCTCCACGCCCACTGGGAACTGCTAAGTCAGCAGAGAGAAAGGGGAAAAGGTTATTGTTATTGAGGGGAGGGCAGGTCAAAGAACGGAGGAAGGAAGGGCAAGACAGCTGTCTTCCAGGTGGCAGACAAAAGGAGGGGAAGGGCTTGGAAGGACTGCATGGGGCCACTTTAAAGCCAACTGCGATCCGATGGCTCTCACGGCTGTTTAAAAAGCCTGGGACCATGTCCAAATCCATGTGCTGCCCATTGCCCCTGTCTGGGGTTCCCCCACCTCCTCCCAGCTGCTGCAGCCCTAGACTTTCAGAACTGGGGTAACACCTACCTGATGCTCCTCAGAGATTCTCAAAGTGCCTACCTTGGGACGAGGAGCGGAACAGGGAGCCGAGATGGGTCACATGAGCGAAAGCTCTAAAGTCAGCTGTTCTCCCAGCTGGCGGGCCTCCCCAGAGGGCGGGGCAGCCGCTGGACCAGGACCAGATAGGCTGGAGCTCTCCACCAACCGGGACAGTCAAGGCAAGTTAGAGAATAAGAGAGAATCATGGCAGCTACAGCAACTGCATGGAGTCTCTATCTAAAAAGATCTCCAGAGAAGAAACAAATGATTCCTCCTTCCCTCCCCCAACACACACACACACACACACACACACACACACGCACACGCACACAAGCACACACACAGGATTCAATGTGTATGAGTCAAGTAATTGTGTGACCTTGGCCAGATCACTTAACCTGAGCTTGAACAGATCCCAGAGATAAGGGGGTTAGACAAGATCATTCTGATAGTGCCCTTCAAGCTCAACTGTGTGACCCCTAATCATCTCCAAATAAGTTGTTTGGGGTTTTTTTTTTTTCATTTCTTTGCCAGTCCTAGGGCTTGAACTCAGGGCCTATGTGCTGTCCCTGAGCTTCTTTTGCTTCAAGCTAGCGCTCTTGAGCCACACCACCACTTTTGGCTTGGAAATTTTATTGGAAATAGGAGTCTTTCCTACCCAGGCTGGGTCAAACCACAACCCTCAGATCTCAGCCTCCTGGTTTGAGGTGAGCAGGAAAAAGGATAAAACCTTGTTTGAAAACCAAAAGTAGGGCTGTGAATGTGGCTTAGTGGTAGAGTGCTTGTCTAGCATGCATGAAGCCCTGGGTTCCATTCCTCAGTATCACATAAACAGAAAAAGCCAGAAGTGGCACTGTGTCTCAAGTGGTAGAGTGCTAGCCTTGAGCAAAAGTAGTTCAGGAACAGTGCCCAGGCCTTGAGTTCAATCACCACGACTGGCAAAAACAAAAACCAAAATTAAATGGCTGGGAAGGTGGCTCAGTGGTAGAGTGCTTGTCTCGCAGGCATGAGGCCCTGGGTTCGATTCCTCAGCACCACATAAATAGAAAAAGCCAGAAGTGGCGCTGTGGCTCAAGAGGTATAGCACTAGCCTTGAACTGAAGAGCTCAGGGACAGCGCCCAGACCCAGAGTTCAAGCCCCATGACTGCCCCCCCCCCCAAAAAAAAACCAAAAAAACCTTAAAATGTAGCTAAAAGGAGCCAAGCACTGGTGACTCATGCCTACAAGGTTAGCTATTCAGGAGGCTGAGATCTAGGGATAATGATTCAAAGCTAGCCTAAGCAGACAGATTTTCAGCGTCTTACCTCCAAATAAGCAGCTAGACTGGATATATGGCTCAAGTGGTAGAGAGCCAGTCTTGAGCAAAAAAAAGAAAAAAAAAAAAAACTGAGTGAGAACACACAACCTTGAGTTCAATCCCCAGTACCAATGTTTAAAAAGAAAAAGAAGGCAGGCACTGATGACTCATGCCTGTAATCCTAGCTTCTGAGGATGCCGAGATCTGAGGATCACAGTTCAAAGCCAACTCGGGCAGGAAAGTCCATGAGACTCTTATCTCCAGTTAACCACCAGAAAACCTGAAGTGGCACTGTAGAGTTCAAGTGGTAGAGCGCTAGCCTTGAGCTGAAGATCTGAGGGACAGTGCCCAGGCCCAGAGTTCAAACCCCACAACCAACAAAAAAAGAAAAAGAAAAGAAAAAGAAGGAGAAGACCCAGTCTTCTAGAGGGAATACCGACAATACAAAGATGTGGAGTGCATGTTTGCTTTCCCTAGAACCATTTTCATACTATTTGAGCCTTTAATCTGTGGCCATTTGTCTAGTGAATTGGTCTTATCTAAATGTACAGTAAAACTTATCTCCCAAAGTCAGTAAAATGGTTATTAACTAGATCCAACTCTAAGTTAAGCTCCCAAGCTTCCAAGAAAACTAAGTGCTATCTTTTCCCTTTCCTTTGTGTGTGGGAGGGGGAGGGGGGACGGGAGGGAGAGGGGAGGGGTCAGTTCTGGGGCTTGAACTCAGGGCCTGGGCGCTGTCTTTTAGATTTTTGCTCAACCATTTGAGCCACAGCTCTACTTCCGGCCTTTTGGTAGTTAGTTGCAAATAAAAGCCTTGCTTGCTTTCCTGCTTGGGCTTTGAATTGGGATCCTTAGATCTCAGCCCCTTGAGTAGCTAGGATTACAGGCATGAGCCAACAGCCAGGCCCCTTTCTTAATCTGTTGTAGACATAAGACACTTAATTAAACAGGATATTTTAAAAGTCTTCCAGGACTGGGAAGGTGGCTCAGTGGTAGAGCGCTTGCCTTACATGCCTGAGGCCGTGGGTTCGATTCCTCAGCACCACATAAGCAAAAAGAAAAAAGCCAGAGGTGGCACTGTGGCTCAAGTGGTAGAGCTCTAGCCTTGAGCTGAAGAGCTGAGGGACAGCACCCAGGCCCAGAGTTCAGGCCCCACAACTGGACCCCCCCCCCCCAAAAAAAAAAATAGTCTTCCAATCTGGAGCTTGTATTTTTTTTTCTGTGTCATGACTCAGATTGCACTTTTATTTTAATTCTACCATTTTGAAGTTGATTTATCATCATATCTGGGGTTTCTATTCAGTCTTCTCCATTACAAGATTTTTTTTACCTCACAGGCAAAGGATCTGGTCCATGATGCCTCAGTCCATTTTGGTTTGTTTGTTTGTTTCTGTAATAGAGGACCTGGTGATTTAAAGAAGCTCATTGTTTAGCTCATAGTTCTGAAGGTCTAAGAGCCCAGTGAGAATATCTTCTCAGCTTCTGGTGAGAACTTCATGGAAAATCAGAACTCACAGGAAATCAGGCAGGCATGTGGCAGAGGACAGCCCACCCGGCGGAAGACTAACCCATTCCTGTGAGAATTAATCCAGTTTCGCAACTGGAGTTTGGATATAAAATTAACACAAGGGCTCTGGCATTGAATGCTTGATCTCCAGCAGATGGTGCTATTGAGACACAATTAGCTCATAGGGCACTTAACTTTGTGCATTAAACCATTGATTTCATAGTTCATTGCACTAATTGGGGGTGGGCCTGGTTGAAGGAAATTAATCAGTAGAGGGACTGAAGGATTAGTCTTGTCCCTGGCTGACTTCCTCCCCTGCCCCTTTCATTCCCCAGCCTCTTGCCTGTTCTTTCTCTGCATTCCTCCCTCTTCCTTCTCTTTCCTCTTTCTCAATCTCTTTTTCCTCTGTCCTCTATTTCCCCCTTCACCCTTCTTTCTACCAAGAATGAGCTTTGTGCTTCGCTCCACTACTTCTGCTTTACCCCATGGCCAACAAAGCCAAGAGATCACCTACCGAAATCACTGAATCTGTCAGCCTCCCCTGAACCCTTTTTCTCATAAATTGTTTTCTCAAGTATTGTGTCACAGTACCAGAAGTGACTTAACACACCTGTAAGAGAGACATTAATCCCTCTTCACAGCCCTACCTCCCGCCACAACTACATTGACGGCTAAATTCAACAGGAGTTTTGACAGGAACAAAATGGGTGTGAGCTGGAGCAGGGAGACTACTCCTCACGAGTCAGTCAATGTTAATTATGCATTCCTTGATTTGGGTTTGAGAAATGACCCTTGTGGGGGGAGGGGGAGGGGCAGTCCTCAGAGCCAGCGTCCCCACTGTGAGATAAGGACCTGCTCTAACAGGGAGCCATTGTGATTGGGTCTTGGAATATTAATATCAACTCAGACCCTTTATCCTACAGTCTTTGAGATGTCTGGGTTTTTTTTTTTTTAATTTCCTCAGTGTACAGTCACATGGGCAGTGGCCCTGGGTCCCTCTGGGGAAGGACTGGGAAAGTCATCTCATTTTAAACATGGCATGCATGATATTGAGAGGTTCTTTTCCTAGGGTCTGATCACATTGTTAATGAGTTCCATATCTGAAAACAGGTTCAGTTCTGGAAACTAAAGATTGTGATTGTGTGTGTGTCTGTAAGTATGTGCGCGCGTGCATACACCAATACTGGGGTTTGAACTCAGGGCCTTGTGCTCTCACTTGGCTTTTTTTGTTTGCGTTTGTTTTTGTCGGTTGTGGGTCTTGAACTCTGGTCCTGGGCGCTGTCCCTCAGCTCTTCAGCTCAAGGTTAGCACTCTACCACTTGAGCCACAGCACCACTTCAGTTTTCTGGTGGTTAATTGGAGATAAGAGTGTCACGGTCTTTCTTGCCCGGGCTGGCTTTGAACCGTGATCCTCAGATCTCAGCCTCCTGAATAGCTAGGATTACAGGCGTGAGCCACCGAAGCCCAGCTTCCCTTAGCTTGTTTTTGCCCAAGGTTGATACTCTACCACTTGAGCCACACCTCCACCTCTGACTCTTGGCTGGTTAATTGGAGATGAGTCTCTTGGATTTTTGTGCCTGAGCTGGCTTTGAATCTTATTCCTCAGATCTCAGACTCATGGATAGAGAAAATTACAGTTCCTCCCTTCTTAGGTCTGTTGTCATTGAGAGGAGGGCCTATCACCTCTCCTCTCCCTCCATAGATATGAATGAGCCTTGCTCTGCAATACTTCTTTTGAAAGCTGGATCAAACCCAGAGCTAAGCTACACACTCCAGCCCTGGCAACCACCTCTCTTAATGTCAACCACAGTTTTTGGCCTGGCACCCAGCAGAGGAGGTAGCTAGCAGTGGTTCCTGAGGTGGTCACCTATTGTATTATAACAAGAGGTGCAGGACCAAAACAAAAGCTGGCACACCTGCTTCCATTTTCTAAGTGTCTTTGCTTTAAGCCATTCTCTCTGCACTGACCTTGCAATCACCTTGGGATCCAGGAAGTGTCAAAACCTTTATAGGCACACAAGACTTCCCTGAAGGAACAACAGAACCTTCTCAGAACAGACCACCCAGCAGGCCATGGTGACTGGTTTATCCTGAGCAATGTTGGCAGTCTAGAAACCTTCCCCAAACAAAGACTGAAATAATGATTAGCTAGGACATACTTTGACCAGGACTATTTAATAATTATGAATACCTCCCTTTTCCTTTGCCCCATTCTTTGCTCGTGTTTGTAC